AACCCACACTCAGAGGAAAGAGTGCTTCAACTGAGCCATGATTGGGAAAATAACAAAAACCATTGATAGCAAAGGGTTGTAAAGGTGAAGGCACCGTAGTAAGAATGTAATTTTCAACGTAATCTATTCAATCTCCTGCAGCCAATCCTCAGTTTAAATATTTCACTTGGCGAGAAATAAACATTTCTGGGGAAAAGACTGCTATTTGACTGGATTTTTTTTCAGTTTAGATCGGAGGATGAACACCAGCATGAATTGGTTGGGTCAAATGGCTTGATTCTGTGCATCTTATCCAGTGTATTTCGAGATACGTGGAAATGACCTTAAGCTGTTGTGGAGAAGGTGCACAAATGGAAGTAAAGGTAGAAGAGCAACTTCGCATTATTTTATCCTTTCCTGGGATTTGGGTAACACTGGTTCGACAATTATTTAAAGCCCAATCCCAGTTGTCTTTAAGAAAGTGAGATCAGCAATCTTCTTAAACTGCTGCAGCCCTTCTGTTCGAGGTACACCCACAGTGCCATTGGGAGGGGAGTTCCAGGATTTGCTAAAGAACAGCAAAATATTTCCAAGTCACATTGGAGTGCCTTGGAAGGGTACTTGCAGTTGGTTGTTTTCCTATGTGTCTGCTGCCCTTGTCTTTCTAGATAGTACAGGTTTTGGGTTGTATAACATCTTGTAGATGACGCATATTGCTGCCATTAGTAATGAAGGTAGTAAATGTAGAGGGCGAAGGTGCCTATCAATTTGGATGCTTTGACCTGGATGGTGTCAAGCTTCCTCAGTGTTGTTTTAGCTGCATCAATCCAGGTAAGTGGGGGGCAATCCATCACACACCCAATCTGTGTCTTGTAAATCATGGACAGGCATTGGGGAGACAGGAAGTCAGTTACTCTTAGCCACTGACCTGCTCTTGTAGCCGCAGTATTTAGTTAGCTGACTTGGTTTAGTGCCTGATCAGAAGTAATCCCCAAGATGTTGATAGATTCAGTGATGGTAAATACACTGAATGTCAAAGGGTGATGGGTAGATTCTCACTTGTTAGAGGTGATCATTGTCAAGCATTTGTGTATTGTGAACCTTTCTTGCCATGTATCAAGTCTGCCTCTTGTCCAGGTCTTGCTACATATGGACATTTTCTGCTTTAGAACCCGAGCAGTTGCAAATGGTGTTGAACATTATGCAACTGTACTGCTAGACTGACAGTAAGGGAATCTGTATATAAGTCTCCAGAAATAGTGCTCCCAAAAATAGTGCAACTGCAATTGTTCCAAACATTAGAGCCAGAAATAATTCCTTCCATTAAAGCCTTTATATATTTTTTGTTCCTGACTCAGAATGAAGTATCGTGGAGGAACAGAAATAACTTCTTAAAAATAAATCCTGTATAAAATCTGGTACAGCCCTTTTTTTTCTTTTCAATTTAATGAAATGTAACTCTATCATTACAGAGCTTCATTGATTCAGTGTTTGCGTAAATTGTCCTTTTTTCAGCCGAAGTTGATCACGGTCTTGCTGTTGAATTGAAAGGTTATGGGGTCAAGCCTCTTTGCTGATAACCTCACAACTCTGGTATTTTTTTTAAATCCTTTTCCAGTGAATCTATATTTACTAGCACCATACATAAACTTCAAGAAGGTCCTCAGCAAAGTTCAATACAAACTTACCACGACTTCGGTAGTTTTCCATTTTTCTACTTCCTGCAATTCCAGTATTTGGTTTGCTTGTTTTAGGACCTTATTAACACAATATGCAACTTCTAATGATTTGTTTACTTGTACTCTCAGAATCCTTTGCTCATCGAACCCATTGGAAGTCACATATTAATGAGGCATGATATGCAGTTAATAAGCAGTTTAATAATTAATAATCATCCTTAATTGGTAATTCATTGCTGTCTGGAGCAAGAAACTCACCTCAATGCCTGGCAGATGCCATTGAGAAAAGTCTCATTGGACTTCTCACACAATTCTGCCACAACCCTTGGCATAGCTCACATCATTCATGCATCTTTAAAATCCTGCCCATACAATTTAAAGAGGTGAGGGTGTCTAATGCTAAAAGGAAGATTAAGAATATGCAATTTAAAATGTCCCTAGTGCTTTAGGTATTAGGTTTAACCAAAGACCACGGCAGTTCATCTGATTACTTGAATCCTTAGCAATAACGAGGTTTAGACGTTTCTTGGAGTTCTCATTGAATGTATGTTTCTCCAATTTACTTATCACGAATATTATCATCAGAGAAGCTGAAAGCAAGAGGGAGAGAAAGAAAGCTTTCAGGTTCCGTGGCTACAAATCCAACATTCTTCCCTTTCTGCCCAAAAGTGATTGCTTGAAATATAGTTCATTTGTGTCTTCCCATGTCTGTCCTCACTATTTATTTCAAGTTAGATAATCTTTGGTGACTTTCATTCCAATATGAGAAGCTTCCAGAGGTGCAAATTAAACACGAGATGCTAGATCTACGTGTTTGATTTCAGCAATTCTGATGACATGTTATTCTAATTTCAGACAGGGTCTTATTTATTGATGTTTTCATGAGCTGGTTCAACTTGTGGTCAGGGGAACACAGTGGCCACCTTAAACTGTTTTCCCTTTTTAACACCATTTTAATCCACAAAAGATCCCAAGTATTAAGATCAAACAGATATTAAAATCAAGAGGTAGGCAATAAATACTGGCCTATTAATGTGCCCACATTCCACATACTCCTTTTGATTGTACTCATCCGATTCAATTCTTATTTACCCAATCAGAGCCTATAAATAGCCATAACTGTCCATTCTGTTGGCCCCTAAGAAATTAGCCTTGCTACATCCTGACTCACTTCCTATTTCTATTGTAATCTAATGCTGCTACCACACAACATAAAAACACCAGTAGTTCCACGTGTACACCAATGAAGCCCAATACTACCTCACTACCAACTCCCCTCAGCCTTCCATTATTTTTTAAATTGTCAGAATGCTTGGTGAACCTCTAAAAGATGAGCAGGAATTTCTTCCAACTAAATATTGGGAAGATCAAAGCCATTGACTTTGTTCCCTAGTCACTAACTTCATCTCTGTCCTTGGCAATACAAGGAGTCTGAATCAAACATTTTGTAATGTTGGTGTCATATTGACCCTGAGATGGGTTCACCTTCATATCCAATCCATTGATAAGTCTACTTATTTATATCATTTTAACATCTCTCAACTTTTCCCAATTCGACTATTGAAACTTTTTATCGTACCTCTATTACCTTTAGATTTGATATTAACACAGCAGAAGGGGTCGACAGCTTGTCACAGCAGGGAGCACTCAATAATCAATCTATCAATCAAAAAAATTGGACATATCACTCTATGGCAATGGTTTTCAACCAGGGTGCTATGGCAAGATGAGAAGTGTGCCACAAAATTTTCGGAAAGCAGGGCTGCTTTACCTAAGCATCAAGGCTGCTTCCATGATTCCGATTTCCTCCAGAGTCTCAATCTATTATTAAAGGCGGTATCTGTTAAGTGCCCTTATTGGCCGTGCATGCACAAGACTCCAGAGTGGTGCATATGTAGACTTCCAATACCGCACATGTGGTATGAAAAATGTTGGTATGCTGTGGGATTGTCTCATTGTCTCAGTAGCCTTGCTACTGAAAAGGTTGCGAACTGTTGTTCTATGGCACCTTGCTACATCGAAGTCAGAACTGAAGTTTGCACTGGCTGCTTAAGCAACAACACGTTGCACATCTCCTTCAAAGAAATGGTGATGTGATTGAAGTGTCTGCGATATCCACCAGCTCTGTTCCCTTTACATATGTGCCATCTTACCATATTACAGCAGATATGTGATCTTAAGGTTCTGTAATGTTAGTCTATCTGTAACTTATTCTACGACACTAAGCTAACATGCACTATGCAGCTAGTCTGTTTTATCAGGATTTCTTAAGGCCACCACTTCTATCTGACTGCATTTTATCCCATGCCGAAGTATGCCATGAATGTTACATATTTGGTGGGTGAATTCTTCTGTGGTAGGACCGCATAGAATGACACTTTGTGAATGGATAAACCATTCAATACAAATTAATTTCAGAGATAATGTGAGGTATTTTTATAGCATGGTTACTTTGATCGGGTACTTGATATTTCACATTGTAATTCAACATACCTTAGCAGATTTCTTCATTCTAGCAATCTTCTTCCTGTGCCTGTAAGTCAGTTTTGAAACTTAACTAGTCAAATCTTTGCGTGCATAGTGGATCACGTCATTTCAACCTACTATAAGTATAATATTGGGAACTAACAACAAAGAGAAAGTTCTTCCCAAAACTTGCAGTAAGTCATATTTAGTACCTAAACTGTGGCAATTTCTTAGGTGTACATCTGTATGGAGTAGCAGGAATATGATGAATTGTGCAGGAATTAATCTATAATACTGAACAATAGAAACAACGGACATTAAAATGGCTAAATGCTTTCATTGCCTCATTCTTGAACCTGAAACAGTAGATCATTCATTCAAGGGGTTTGAGCACACAATCCAGGCAGACATTTTAAGTGCAATACTGATGGAGTGCTATGTTGTCTTTCAGATACGGCATTAACCTGAATCATTGTCTGGCTGGTTAACAGGACAACAGTATTACTTACTAAACAGCTGGCATCTTTTCAGTGTTCGAGCCAACACCTATCCCTCAACCAACATGACTAAAATATGATTTCATTGCTATGTTTAAATCTATTGCAATGTTTACCCAAATTATAACAGTAATTACAATTCCAGAATACTTTGTTCACTATGAACACTGACATATCCAAGATACCAGAATAAATGTAAATTCCTGACTCAGCTGAAACATACAAGGCTCAGATACTGAAGATGGTCGTGATTACAGTAGGAGACAGGAACGATAAAAGGAGGGCAATGCTGTAATTAGAATCCAGTGTGTTGTTCATATAAACATAAGAACCATTCCAGTTGAGAACAGAAATAAAAAAAAACACAAGAAGCAAATGATAGATTAAATAAAAATCACTTTTTAAAAAAGAATCATTTACAAATACAACTCACACCAATACAGATTCCTTTCACTATAAATACATTGCACAAAACCGAGCAGGACAGGGATTTTTTTAATGTGAGGGAAGTATCAAAAGTTTACAAGTTCCCCTTTTCAGTTCTTGATCAAAATATCAATCTTCTTTCCACTCTGGTCATTTCTTCGGTTTCCTCTGCAGTCACAAGATTTCCTCCTAACCTGAATTTTAAAAAAAAATCTTTTTAAGTGATTCAATTTTGCTTCAGAATTAGTTTGGGTTCTAAGAGATTCTAGGTTGCCTATAAATAAAACATACCACATCGCAGAGTTCAGAGATAACAAGGTGTACAGCTGGATGAACACAGCAGGCCAAGCAGCATCAGAGGAGCAGGAAGGCTGACGTTTCGGGCCTCGACCCTTCTATCCTGCTCTCTTAGCCCCAATTTTTTTTTATTATTCATTCATGTGATGTGTGTGCTGCTGGCTATTGCCCATCACTATTGCCCTTGAGAAGATGGTGGTGAGCTGCCTTCTTGAACCACTGAAGTCCATTTGGCGTAGGTAGATCTACAATGCCATTAGAGAGGAAGTTTCAATACTTTGACCCAATGGCACTAAAGGAACAACATATTTCCAAGTCAGGATGATAAGTGGCTTGGAGAATTTGCTGGTGGTGGTGTTCTCATGTATCTGCTGTTTGATAGATGTTGGTCGTCATGGGTTTGTAAGGTGTTTGTAAGGACATTTGGTGAATTTATGCAGTGCATCCTGTAGGTGGGGCACACTGCCGCTACTGAGTATTGGCAGCGGAGGGAGTGAATGTTTGTGGATGTGATTGAGTAAGCTATTGTCCGAGAAGGTGTCAAGCTTCTTCAGTGCTGTTGGAGCTGCACTCATCCAAGCAAGTGGGGAGAGTTCAGTCACAATCCTGACTTGTTCTTTGTTGATGATGGACAGGTTATCGGGAGTCAGGAGGTGAGTGACTTGGGCAGCATGGTGGCTCAGTGGTTAGCACTGCTATCAGGACCCAGGTTCAATTCTAGCCTTGGCTGACTGTCTGTGTGGAGTTTGCACGTTCTCCCTGTGACTGCGTGTGTTTCCTCTGGGTGGTCCAGTTTCCTCCCACAGTTAGGTTCTCTCTTGTTGGAGATGATCATTGACTAGCATTTGTGTGGCACAGATGTTACTCGCTACTTTCAGCCCAAACCTGGATATTGTCCAGCCCTTTCTACATTTGGACGCAGACTGCTTCAATATCTGAGGAGTCTTGATATGTGTGTAATCATTAGAGAATATTCCCATTTCTGAAAAAAAATACAAAGAACTGTGGATGTTGGAAATCTGAAACAAGAACAGAAATTGCTGGAGAAACTCAGCAGGTGTGGCAGCATCTATCGGGAGAAAGCAGAGTTAATGTTTTGGGTCCTGAACTGATCTGAAGAGGAGTCACTGTACCGAAAACATTAACTCTGCTTTCTCTTCACAGATGCTGTCAGACCTTCAGAGTTTCTTCAGCAATTTCTCTTTTTTTGTTTCAGATTCCCATTTCTGGCTTTATAATGGAAAGACGGTCAGTTCTTTCTCTTGAAAGACATGTTAAATATCCTTCCAGATACATCTGTAACCTTGTCATGCTCTGTAAAACAGCATTATTTTTATGTGCATCTGGATAGAATATCAAAAACCTATTTGAGCTTTGGAAATATTACAGTTGAGGCCAATCCTATCTCTGAACAGGAAAATACAACATTGTTAATCAAAATCTTCCAATGGTAATGAATTAAATTTTAAACCTTTACAACTGGCTAATCAACGAGTCCCAAACAGTCAAATGCATGAAATGTGACCACGATCACTTTTTTCTGAAATGTTTTTCATGGCTTCTATGCTGTGGTGAACTAGGATACTCCACTAACATATTTAAAACCAAGCTCCCATAGTATAATCAACTCTGCAATTTAAAATTAGCCACTGTTATGTAAGTTTTCCAAGAGCTGGGAAAGCTGGCAATGAAAGGGAGCTGGAACAGCTCGCTCTATTGGGTAAGTATTTTTTCTGACATTCCCTGGAGACTAGCAGAAGTAGGTATGCTCCCTCCATCCCTCCCTCCCAAACCTCAGCCCACTTCATCTCCTCAAAGTCACATTTAATCTCATGGCTTACTATTGACTCTGCTGACTAGTTATGGTCTAACTAATCTGTGTAGTCTGAGGAAGCTTCTTCTTGCATCATTTGGCAGCAGAGACATGATGTGCTGAATGACCTCCTTCTGTGCTGTCCAATTCTATATGATTCTATAATGACAGAACAGACTCAAGGGGTGTGACATATTCTACTTCTGTCCAAATAGTAAGAATAAAGTGGTTTTTCAATGAATGCAGCTGGAAAGCCCATTGTATTTTTGACTTGTCCATTTTTAACTTGTTACTTACCATATAGACACAATAGTAATATTGTACTTGAGAGCATTGACAAAAAACTCCATCCCTTTTCTGCTGATCCTATTATTAGACAGCCTGTAAGCAGTGAGAAACAGAAAATCATGGTATGGACATTCTATTTGCATGGAAGTGAAGTTATTCAAGTAAAAGCAAAATACTGTGGATGCTGGATTTCTGAAATAAAAACAAAGTGCTGGAGAAACTCAGCAGGTCAGGCAGCATGTGTAGAGAGAGAAGCAGTGTTAATGTTTCGAGTCCGACATTATTCTTCTTCAGAACTCTGCGTTCCGAAGAATCAGGATATGGTGGGTGGGGAGGGAGGGGTGGGGGGTGTAATGTGGCTGCAAGAGAGGAAAGGTCAGTCCCTTGAGGAGGTGAGGTGTTGAGGGCAAGAAGGATATTGGGTGTTAAGTTATGGAGGGAGTAAGTGGTGTAGGTTAAGTGTATTTGGGGCTGTGAATCTAAGCTGCGGCATCAGTTTGTTACTCAGGAGTTACAGGTTTTCAATGGTCTTTTTTTTCCTAAGCCATTTACTTAATTTTATCAGAACCCTCTAAATCTTAAGACTTAAATGGATATTTTCAGAGGGTTCCAGGTATGGGGGCATTGCTCAGTGCAATCTTCAATTTCCTTGGCAATCCCTTTGGAGTCTGCTACATAAGGGATTCTGCAGTGACTCCATATGTAACTTCCATCTCTGCTTCAGAAGTGATTATCAGGGTATGCGGAAATCTGCACGCATACACTTAACCGTGAAACTGAATAGATCTCTTTCACCATGGTTCATTCCTTTCATAGACCTATTCAGTCTGTGTCCTCTACTTCTGCAAGCAGGTTACTTAATCTCTGAATCATTTTTCTTGTCATCAAAATATGTGCAATTCCCTGAACACTCCAGGTGGTGAATATATGGAACTCATTGCCTCGGAAAGCTGCAGGAGCCAAGTCTTCAAGTGTCTTTAAGACAGCGATAAAAAGGTTCTTGATTAGTAACAGATCAAATGTTATGGGGAGAATACAGGAAAATAGGGTTGAGAAACATTTCAGCCATGATCGAATGGCCTAATTCTGCTTCTATATTTTGTGGTCTTATGTTACATCAAAGCCTTTTGAAAGGTACAGCAGGCATTTATGTCAGATATGTTGGTTTATCAAAAATATCGGGACATTTTCCAGGCCATCAGAAAGGATTATCCCTAAATCTATTTTTATCAAAGCTCAACGCTATATGGTTAAAATGATTAATTTAAACTAGCAACCACAATGGCAACAGCAATACCAACTCTTTGTTAATTTAAATAATACAGCATCTAGCTGAGAAATTCTGGTACAGCTGAATCAGAATAGCAACAACAGAAAGGAAAGAGAAAAACCGGCTCATATGCAAAACAACAAATCAGGCTCAACAAACAATGGGAAAACAGAACACCTTATATATCTGGAATAAGTAGAAACATGTTGATCGAGAATAGCCCTTTTAAAATGATGAAATTAAAATGAATAATCAAATAATAGCCTGAAGTGGAAGGAAATGCATCATTTGATTTTTCTTAATATACCCAGCTCAGGAAAAATAATTTTGCTCATGATTTCAAGCAAGCTTAAAATTCCTGACAAATTACAGCACAAATAAAACTTTGCAGGGCTGTGGACAGAGATCAAAAGAATAGAATTATTCGAATACTTCTTTCAAAGATCTAGACGTTTCTTTCAAAGTAATAATTTTCTGAATAGCCTGCTTCTCTGCTGAATGAATCTTTGTGCACAATTAGAGTTTGGGCAACATTTATTGAGACATCACCACATACTTGAGAACCTTCAAGCTTGAGTTGTTTTGGAGTCCTTCTGCAAAGTGAAGCATATCTTCATCAACTAAACAGTTCTCCTGAAGACTGCAAAAAAAGTTAAGAAGTCAGAGGTATACTGGACTTCTACTTTCAAATAAAGTTTATTTTAAACATACTGGTATGCATTAAAGGCTACTTGATATGAGATAATTTTGGCGGGAAAATCAGCTGTCACCTTTCAAAACACAACAGACCAACAAACTGATCTACTCGAGTGAGCCTGGTTTTAAATATTTTATGAAATGCTCACTTGGCTAAATAGATTCTGAGAGTTGTTTGATTGACATGTCAGAGAAATCAATAAAATATGCTTACTTGCTATTGTATTTGTTTTTCAGTTCTGTAGGTTATGGTGATTCCCACTTTAGGTTGTCTCTGCAATCCTGTAACATGGCCCAACCAATTCCAGCTGGTTCTTTGTCTATTCTGTTCCGAAAGCCACCTATTTCCAACCTTCACCATTCTCGGCCCTCTCGCCTGGTTCCTAATGCTTGCTAGCACCTCTCCCTTCACGCGTTTCTACCTTCAGAACTCCCTGCTTCCTCAAGCTGTATTGCCCCCACTGAGACTTCAGGAAGAGGGCTGGAGTCTGTGACGAGAGAATGAAATATTTGGTGGCACTGGCTGATAAATATTCTCTTGTTTGTACAGAGCTCAGTTTTCTCAGTATGATCAGGGACTGGGTACTTTGTGATCCCATGGTCATCAAAATCACCAAGAAATTGAGTTAGAAGTCGCTGGCAGAAGCATGATGGACCAAATGGCTTCTTTCCATGATGTTTGTGTCTATGGGCTGAATTGAATGTTGAAAAGTGTGCGGGTATAGGAATTGACATGGGGGTGAGGGAGGTTAAAAATAGCAAATTGGCAATGTTGGGAAGCTGGCCCCAACCCACTAATTTCCTAATTTAACTGCAGACTGTAAAATTGCAATCAAGATACTCACTTGAGTATCCCAGGCTTCTTGGAACTTGCCATACAAAACAGGGCAAGAACAGAATAGCAACTAAGATGGCTGAAGACATGACAGGGAAATATACCACTAAGTACCAACAATTGGATAGTCAGCATGGATTTGAGAATGGGATGTCATGTCTGACAAATCTTTTAAAGTTTTTCGAAGAGGTAACTAAGAGGATAGATGAGGGTAGTACAGTGGATTTTGTCTATCTGGACTTAGGTAAGGTATTTGACAAGGTCCTGCACAGCAGGCCAGTCATGAAGGTTAGGTCGCATGGGATCCAGGGAGAGTTAGCTAATTGGATTCAAAATTGGCTCGATGGTAGGAAGCTGAAGGGTGATGTTTGAAGGTTGTTTCTCAGACTGGAGGCCTGTGACTAGTGGTGTGCCACAGGGTTCAGTGCTGGGGCCTTTGTCATTTGTTATTTACATAAATGATCTGGATGTGAATGTACGAGGCATGATTAGTAAGTTTGTGGATGATACAAAATTAGGAGGTATCATTGATAGTGAGGATGGTTATCAAAAATTATAGAGGGATCTTGATCAGATGGCGAAGTGGGCTGAGGATTGGCAAATGCAATTCAATACAAATAAGTGTGAGGTGTTGCACTTTGCAAAATCAAACCAATGTAGGACTTATACAGTAAATGGTAGGGTCCTGAGGAGTGTTGTGGAAAGAGGGACCTAGGACTACAACAACATAGTTCATTGAAAGCAGTGTCAAAGATAGACAGGGTGCTGAAGAAGGCATTTAACGTGCTGGCCTTCATCGGTCGAAGCATTGAGTATAGGAGTTGGGACATTATGTTACAGTAGTTTAAGTCATTGGTGAGGCCGCACTTGGAGTATTGTGTACAGTTTTAGTCACCCTGTTATAGGAAAGACATAGTTAAACTGGGAAGTGTGTAAAGAAGATTTACAAGGATGTTGCCAGGACTAGTAGGCCTGAGTTACAGGGGGAGGTTGGCCAGGATAGGACTTTATTCCTTGGAACATAGGAGAATGAGGGGTGACCTTATTGAGGTGTACAAAATCATGAGGAGCATTGATAGAATGAATGCATACAGTCTTTTTTCCCAGGGATGGGAAATTGAAAACTAGAGGGCATAGGTTTAAGGTGAGAGGGGAAAGATTTATGAAGGACCTAAAAGGCAACTTCTTCATGCAGAGAGTGGTGCATATATGGAATGGGCTGCCAGAGGTAGGTAAAAATGTTTAGCAACATTTAAAAAACATTTGGATAGGTACATGGATTGTAAAGGTTTAGAGGGATGTGGACCAAATGCGGGCAACTGGAACTAGCTGCGTCAGCACCATGGTCAGCATGGACAAGTTTGGGCCGAAGGGCCTGTTTCCATGCTGTATTACTCTATGACTCTACTGACTTCTCAAAAGCTGCTTTCTTATCTACTTGTGTGAGAAGATTTTCTGATAGTTCTTGTTCTGAGAGATACAAGCTGGATAGATAGAAAGGAACCAGTAGATGTAATATATTTGGATTTCCAAAAGATGTTCAATAAGGTACCTCACATAGGGCTACCAAATCAGGTAAGAGTCTTTTATGCTGGGCTTAGTAAATAATCATAGATCAAGGATTGGCTACATAATAGATGATCGAATTGGGAAAAAAGGGGGCATTTTCAGGATGGCAACCTGTAATTAGTAGAGTCTGACAGCAATCAGTACTGTGGCTACAATCATTTACTATATACAGAAGTGAAATCACTATCATCTGCTATGGCAAGTGGTAAGGATGGCACAAAAGCCTGCACAGGTTAAGAAAATGGACAAAAACTTGGAAGATGGGAAAACGTAAGGTTTTACACGTGGCAGAAGAACAGAGGAACTGAATATTATTTAAATAAGGAAAAACTGCAGAAAGCTGCACGACAGAGGGATTTGGGAGTCCTTGTGCATGAATCACAAAAAAACTGGCATCCAGGTTCAGCAAGTAATAGGAAAGGCAAATTGAATATTAGCCTTTATTTCACAAGGAGTGGAGTATAAAAGTAGGGAGGTTGTGTTAAAACTAGATAAGGCACTAATTAGACCACACTGTGGAATACCATGAACAGTTTTACTGCCTTTATCTAAGCAAAGATATACTGATGTTGGAGGCAATTTAGAGATGGTTTTTAAGTTGTTTCTGGGTATGGAGGGATTTTCCAATGGGGACAGGTTGAGTAGTTTGAGCTTATACTCTTTGGAGTTTAGAAGAATTAGGATAATGGGAGTAAGGCAGGAAAATCAAGTTGAGTATTATCAGATTGGCCACGATCTCCTTAAATAGCAGAGCAGACTTGATGGGCTAAATGGCAACTTTTGTTCCCATGTCTTATGGTCCTTTGGAGAGAGGAAAATTAGCCATGCAGCCTAAACTCAGTTGTGAAGAAATTGCTAGGATCCATAAGTAAAAATAGCATAACTGGACACCTTGGAAACTTCATGCTGCTCATGGAAAGCCAGCAGAGATTTATAAAGGGTAGGTCATACCCGACAACTCTTACAATGTTTTGAAGAGGTAACAATATCTCTCAAAGTTTTTGTTATGGACTTCCAGAAAATATTTGAAAAAGTCACAAAACATGTTAAGCTATATCCATGGGATTGTGGGAAGTTATTGACCTGGTTAGGAAATTAGTAAAGGGCGAGGAGTCAGAGAGGAGGGAAATGGACAGGTACTCCAATTGCCAGGACGGGTAGTGACTAGTGATTAGGGTCTTTGTTGGAGCCTCGACTGCTTATTAATGACTTAGAATGATAGAATTCAAAGCTATATTTCCAATTTTGGCAATGACACAAAAATGGCAGAACTATAACGGAAACATAAATGTACAAAAATACATTAACAGTATTTCCTCTCTTATTATTTTCTGACAAATGGATTTAAACTTAGTTAATTTGGGAACAACCATGTTGGACCGAAAAGGAATAGAACAGAGTACTTTCTGAAAGATGTAAAGTAAAAACAGTGGTAGTCCAAAGAGGTTTGTGTCCACGTAAATGGAGCAAAATGTTAAGATCAAGTACAGAAAATGGTTGCAAAGGCCAATAGAATGCTGGCATTTACATCTGGAGGATTAGAATATAACAGTTTGGAAGCTTTACTTCAATCAATACAAAGTCTGAGTGAGATCACACAATGAGTACTGCCAGCTGCTCCATACTTCAGGAAGAAATGCAGCATTGACTGATCAGAACGTTACCGGGATTGCAAAAGTTAAATTATGAGGTGGGGTTCCAGAAACTAGGGGTGTATCTCCTGGAATTTACAAATTAAGGGGCATTTTTACCAAATATGTTTTTGATATTAAGAACAACAGATTGGGTAAATGAAGTTAAATGATAGAAATAAACTATTTTCATTAATTAGAAGTCTGGGACTGTGGGGCGTATGTTATAAATTGGATTCAGACCTTTTAAGAGTGATATTAGGGAATAACTCTAAACACAAATGGCAGTTGATATGAGGTTAATCATTAAATTCAGATCTGAGGTTGATAGATTTTTCTTATCCATAAATATTGAGGGATATTGAGGAAAGACACATATATGGAATTAATTCACAGATCAGCAATGATTGCACTGACAGCAGAAGAGGGTCAAGGAGCTGACTAGCCTATTCTTGTTCCTTTGTGTTACATTAGACCTCAAATGAAAGCCAAGTTGAACCGAGTCAGCAGGAGTTGAAACATGAGTCTCCTGCTCACAGATCTATAAATCCACAGGAAAAAAAATGATAAGCCACTGGTGTGCAATCCCTAAAAGATCCTTATGCAGATATGTGCAATATTCCCGGAGGACCGGGGGGGCGTATTGGTGGTGGTGGCGATGGTGATGGACTCCATGATATTTTCATTCTGAACTATTCTAATTTCTCTGCACATCAAAGCAGACACACGGGCTGGTTTTTCAAAGACAATAGATACTCATTTAAAATATGGCTCATAGCACCCATGAGGGACTCAAGCAATTACATTCAGGAGTGACATAATGAAAGTCAGGTGACAGGACATTTCATTGAGCAAGCATGTTAAAGACCTGCTTCAAGAGCTTGGGCAGATGGGAAGGTACCTTTTAGTGCGTACCATCCAAGGCCTCCAAAATTCTGGAGTACGGTACTTTGCACAACATTACCCAACATTCAGATTTGGATCTGCCAAACAAAGAACGACACAGAGCCCGTTCAGGCAATTCCAAGGTAAAAGTACAGTCAGTTCATCAACAGCAGCAACTGTTGTTGTGCAGCATACCTCATTATTACCAAGACAACAAGGTGCAGGGCTGGATGAACACAGCAGGCCAAGCAGCATCATAGGAGCAGAGAGGCTGACGTTTCGGGCCTAGACCCTTCATCAGAAAAGGGGGAGGGGAAGGGGGTTTTGAAATAAATAGGGAGAGAGTGGGAGGCGGATAGAAGAGGGATAGAGGAGAGGATAGGTGGAGAGGAAACAAACAGGTCGAAGAGGCGGGGATGGGGCCAGGAAAGGTGAGTGTAGGTAGGGAGTTAGGAAGGGGATAGGTCAGTTCAGGGAGGACGGACAGGTCAAGGGGGCGGGATGAGGTTGGTCGGTAGGAGATGGAGGTGCGGCTTGAGGTGGGAGGAGGGGATAGGTGGGAGGAAGAACAGGTTAGGGAGGCAGGGACGAGTTGGACTGGTTTTGGGATGCGGTGGGGGGAGGGGAGATTTTGAAACTTGTGAAATCCACATTGATACCATTGGGCTGCAGGGTTCCCAAGCGGAATATGAGTTGCTGTTCCTGCAACCTTCGGGTGGCATCGTTGTGGCACTGCAGGAGGCCCAGGATGGACATGTCGTCTGAGGAATGGGAGGGGGAGTTGAAATGGTTCGCGACTGGGAGGTGCAGTTGTTTGTTGCGAACCGAGCGTAGGTGTTCTGCAAAGCATCTGCAGTTCCTACTATCCCTCATTATTACCAAGTTCATTTAGGATAAACAAGCCCACTGATCTGACAACTGCTTGCATCGTCTCCCAATGATCAATGTTAATTCAGGCCTTCCAATTCATCATCACACAACTGAAAGGCTGCTGGCTAACTCACCATCCAGTTTGACTCTAGACCCACAACAACATGAGAGACACTTAAATGTCCTCTGAAATGACCTAACAAGCCACTCAATTGTACAAGCCATAAGGAAGTCTAAACAAAAGAACTAAATGGATGGACCACCTGCCATTGACCTAGGCACCAGAAATAACAACAGCAAACCCAGTCCTGTCAATCTGGCAAAATCCTCCTTACTAACATGTGGGAGCTTGTGCCAAAATTGGGAGAGATATCTCATGGCCGAG